GACTTGCCTTTTCATTTTCTTTTTCTTTTTTACTGAGGAAGATTCGCTTGAGCTAACATCCGTTGCCGATCTTCCTCTTTTTGTGTGTGAGCTGCTGCTGCAGCATGGCCACTGACAGACAAGTGGTCTAGGTCCACGCCCAGGAACTGAAGCTGGGCCACTGAAGCAGAGTGCACCAATCTTAACAACTGTTGCCAATCTTTTTCTTTTTTTCTTTTTTCCCTGCTTTATCTCCCCAAACCCCCCCGTACACAGTTGTATATCTTAGTTGCCGGTCCTTCTAGTTGTGGGATGTGGGACGCCGCCTCAACGTGGCCTGATGAGAAGTGCCATGTCCGCGCCCAGGATCCGAACCCTGGGCCACCGCGGCAGAGCGTGCGAACTAAACCACTCAGCCACGGAGCCAGCCTCACCTTTTCCTTTTCTTAACGGTATCTTTTGAAGAGCAAAAGTTTTTTATTTTGGTAAAGTTCCATTTATCAATTTTATCTTTTAGGGTTCATGTTTTTTTTGTCCTGATCCTAAAGACTTTCTTCTAGAAGTTTATAGTTTAGCATTTATGATTAGGTCTATTATCCATTTTAAGTTCATTTTTTTCCCTACATGGATATCCATTTGCTTAGCATCATTTGTTGAAAAGACTACCCTTTCTTCCATCGAATTACTTTGGCACCTTTGTAGAAAACCGATTGACCATGTGTATGTTGGTCTATTTCTGGACTCTATTCTGTACCACCCATAAATGTATCTGTTCTTAAGCCAGTACCACACTGTCTTGATTACTGTAGCTTTATAGTAAGTCTTGAAATCAAGTAGGGTAAGTCTTCCAGTTTTTTCTTTTTCAAAGTTGGTTTGCCTGTTCTAGGTTCTATGCATTTTTATATAAATTTAGAATCAGCTTATCAATACCTATAAGAAGACCTATTAGCATTTTCAATGAGGTTGTGTTGAATCTCTAGATCAAATTGGGGAGAATTGACAACACTGTTGAGTCTTCCAATCCATGAACACAGTGTATTTCATTTGTTTAGTAGTTCTCTAATTTCTCTCAATATTGTATAGCTTTCATTGTACAGGTTTTGCACGTTTTTTTGTTAAATTCGTCATGTTTTTTGATGATGTTATAAATGAGATAAATGTTTTAATCTTGTAAACTGCCTTATTCTGCCGATTCTCAGAAAAGCAATGGATCTCTTGATAAACTGCAACAGAAGTGGGCAGATTGGGGAGGGCTAGGACTGGAATGGGTGGGGTGGGGTGAGGGGACAACTAGTCATAGACATTGGAGCGCCTTCATTCCTCTGGGCAAAGCACCCATTGTGGTGGAGGCCACAGCTGGTAGCGACCCGAGCAGGCATGTGTCAGAATACAGCAGGTAGAGCACTGTGACAGGAGTGCAGGCACAGGAGGTGAGAGGAGGCAGTTGATGTCAGGAGAGTGTGCTAACAGGTGTAGGGCCTCAGACACATATGAGCAGGCGCAACTGCCTGGAGAAGGCTACCGGCAACAACAAGGAAGGGTGTGCCAGCCTCCTGGGAATGAGATAGCAGGTCTTTTACCAAGCAGGGCTTGGGCACAGGGAATCAGGTACCCGATGTGGAGTCTGGGGTCCGACCCTCAGCAGCAGAAGATTGGAGCGCACAGTCAGGGCTTGTCCAACGCCAGGTGTTCTAACCTGGAGTCTCGGTGTGTTGGATCTGGTCTTTAGACTTGCCCTCGGGGACTGGTCCTTGGCCTGGACTGGGGGTGAGGAGGAGGCTGCCAGGGACTGGGAACCAAGGGAATCTGGCCAGTCCTTCTGGGAAGCAGAGGGGAATAAATTGTAAGTATTTATAAAAGTAATTGGGCATCTGTCATCAGTTCCAACTCCACCTCTCTTCTGGCAGGAGCAGGTAAACAAGAAAAAGAGGCAATGCTGGCGTTCAGAATGAATTAAGTGGGCAGACAACCAGACTTCCCGTTGCTCCTATTTACTTGCTTTCAAGAGATGTAGACTTCTCTCTTTTGTTGGCAGTTACTCAGCAGGTGCTTCACAGCCCAGCAAAGGCTGAAGGAAAGGCTCATTACCTCTTTTTGTTTAAATGAGTGAAGGTATCTCCACTTTTTCAGACTCAACCTCCAGGAAAAACCTTTTGAAACCCAATCAATCAATTGCTCCATCTCTCCAACCATTCATTCAAGGCGGGCGGCAGCCAGATGGGCTGGGTTAAAGAGGGTGTTCTGCTCCTATTTTGCGGCTATTTGAGAAGACGCTGTGTTGCCTGGGGCCCCAGTGAACAGAAAAGAGGAAGGGAGCCATTCACTATCACCTGTCGAGGTGCCCTATCATTTGGTGTCCTCATTGAAGATGATGCCCCTGCTGCTGGCTTGGTCCCAAGGTAGGGGGTGGGGTGTCTTTCACTGAGATGGGGGACGCTAGAAGAGGAGCCAGATGGAGACAGAGCGTGAGGAGCTTAGTTTTAGATGCGATGAGTTAGGAGGCCAGTGAGACATTGACAGAGAGACATCCAATAGGCCTTTAGATGTATTGGTTAAACAAATGTGCAAGAGATGTTACTTGTTAGTGAATTGCCTGCCCTGGCACAGACTTCCTCAGAGTCTACTCTGGTGCTGTGGCCCCCCTTGACCAGGGCTATTGTTGATTCCACAGCTGTTTGATTATAAAAATACTTTTATAGTCAAATAGTAAGGAGAGATTGAGTCCTGCTGCGGTTCTCTTTCTCTGACACAACTGCGGTTAATAGTTTAGTGAATAACCTTTCCAGTTTTTTATGCAAAGAGTTCATTTCTATATGAGTTTTCATACACACATATATGAATATATATGTGAGATTTCACCTATGTATGAGTATATATATATGCATATGAAATCTCATACATAATTACACAAGTAGATACGCACCCCGTGGGTCCTGTTCTGTAGCCTGCTTTCTTCACTTAGTACTGTGTCATAGATAAACTCCCGTGTCAATGCTTGAAGATTTATAGGATCCTTTTCAATGGCTGTGTAGCTTTCCATTGTGTGAATGCACCATTATTTATTTAAACAATCCTCGTGCTGACAGAACTTAAGCTTGTTCTCAAAGTATTTGCTATTTTAAACAGCAATGCAACAAAATACCCATGTAATAAATTTTTGTGCAATTACTTTTGTCCAATTATTTCCTTACAAGAAATTCTTAGATGTGAAATGTACATTTTAAGTTTTCATGTAGATTTTCGGATTTCCTTCTGGTAAGATTGTACCAGTTTGAACTCCTACTAACAGTGTGTGCTTTTCTCACCAGCTCTAGGCTTTGTTCTCTTTTTTCTGTGCCATTGCAATAGGTAAAAAATGTCATTTCATTGTTTTCATTTGCATTTCGCTGGTTATTAATAAAGATGAGCATCTTTTCATTTACTTATTAGCTATTTGTGTCCTCATCCCCATGGGTTGCCTATTCATATTCTTTGCCTACTTTTTCTATTGGAGTATTTGTCTTTCTCTTAAGATTTATAAGCGCTCTTACTCATTACAGATAGTAATTCTTGGTTATATGTTGCAAACATGTCATAACCAGTTTTTATTGGTCTTCCTTAAAAGTCGTTTGTGGTATCTTTTGCCGTATCACAGTTTTTCACTGTTATATAGTCACATGTAAATCAGTTATCTTTTATGGTTTCTGGCTTTGGATTATGCTAAGAAAACCTTAACTCACCCAAAATTTATAAACACATCTTCGTATGTTTTCTTCTAGTACTTTATACTCTTATTTTTTATGTGAAATCTAATGATGTCACTTCGTTGCTTGTGGTAGTAGCAACCCTTCCCGCCACACCCAGCTGGTCCATCCTCCTGGCATGTCCAGCCAGGCCTGGGGGATTTGGCCCCTGTCTCCTCTCCAGCCTCGTACATCAAATGCACCAGCCATCCTGAATGCACTGAGCTAGATCGCACTGATCCAGTGCAGTCTGGATGCCCCTGTTGGGCTCCCCAACCCCCGCCCGTGAACTCCTGAGCAACCATCAAGGCTCATCCAGGGCGCATCCTCTGAGAAGCAGTCCTCTATCCCAGTCAGTGTTAAGCACTTCTGCCCCTCCGGGTACTGACACAGCCCTTCTCTTAATTCATATTGAAATTTTTGTTTATGCGTTTCTTTCCACTGTGAACTTGTGAGCTCCTTGTGAGCTCCTCTGGGAGTTAGTGCAGGATCAGGCACTTAGCTTAGTCCCATGTAGTCAGCACTAAACCTGCCTCTGTAATCCGGTTTGCATTTTAGCAAGCTCATTACGCTAACGGTGTGGAAGCCGCAAGACCAGTTAGAAGTATCCAGCGAATGGTGATGTCATAGTCCAGCTAGATGGTAATGGCCTGAACTGAGGCGGTGGGTTTGGAGAAAAGAAGACAGATATGCAACAGATTTAGGCAGAACAGACAGTGCTTGAGTACGGTGCTGTGTTTGAAACGTCTCCTAAATGTTCAACCCACAAATAAATCAGAATGTTAGCCCATTAGCATAGTCCCGACCTTTTGATTCTGGTATTATCTGGTGGTTACAATTACCTCTACTCCTATTCCTTTCCATAAAACTCTGTGACCTTGGCTAGTCATCACCTCCAGTCATCATCTGTCAAGTGGAAATAGCTTGTCACTTCCAAGGGCGGTTGTGAGATTGTTTCAGTTGAATGCCATGTGTAAGATCCTTCATGGCCCCTGACACATGCTGCACTCAGTGAGTGTCAGTTCTCTGGTCTCCTTTCCCTCCTTACTTTGCCATCTTCTGACAGATCTGAAGGATTCCTAGAGAGAGAAGCTGAAATCAGTTTTTATTGGGTTTCCACAAATCACAGGCGTGCCCTGGACAGCTGGTCTCCATCTGTCCACACCAGCTCTCCGCTCTGCTCTGTTCGTCCATCCTGCAATTCTTGCTGTCGTCCCCAGTCTGTTTTCCTTTTCCTCCGGAGAACCTCCCAGCATTCACTCCTTTCTCAGGTCTGCTCCTGCCTTTTCTGTTCCACAGGCACCACCTAATTAACCCACGACCTCCTCAAGCCTGGATTACTGCAGTCACTATTCTCCCAGTCTCCACTCAACCTGTGCCAGGTAAAGAAGCGGGAAGACCAGTCTCCAAATCATGTTTTGTCCCCTGACCTTACTCAGGATCCCTCTCTGAATGTTCCTGGTGTCCTGTGCTCCGTGGGTCACATTTAGAGACTCTTCCTCTGCCTGCCTTGACTTCACCCCCTGGCTCTCCAAGCTGCTTCCTCATCCCTGTCTAATCCCTCCGCCCCAAGGCAGTTCGTCTGCTTGCGATGCCATCCCTACTTACTTACTTCTGCCTCTTATCTCTTCTTTGTCCCAGAGGATGCCTGCTTTGTTCCTCTGCCCCAGGCTTTGCACCAAACACCCTCACAACCAGCACAGAACTCTCTTTTGTGAAGCCTCCCTGCCCATCGCTAGTAGCCCCTTACTGTGGCTGACACTTTGTACATGCAGAGTGCTTTCACAGCGCTATCTCCTTTGATCGATCCTTGTTCCTTCCTTCAACCAATATTTAATGAGTTTGCTCTGCATGCCAAGCCCTTAGAAGGATAAAATAAGGCACAGGCTTTGCTCTCAGGGAGCTCCAGTCTAATACCTATGAATTCCAAGCACAGTTTCTTCAGCCATAAAATGAGGATAATAAGGCCTAATTACTTCGCAGGGCTATCGCAAGATTTATGTGAAATTGTCTGTGAGGCTGACACATAAAGAGCTTAATGGCAGTGATGTGCTGATGGTGTTGATGCCCACTTTACAGCTGAGAAGACAGGCTTGGAACAGTTAAGGGTGTGCCCCAGTCACACAGCCAGAGGGCCACAGCCAAGTTCTGTGCTTGTGGCCCTGCCCCACCCCATCGCCCACTCCATTCCTCCTCATCCTCACCCGTGCATCCTTTGCATCCTCACTCGCTCCCATTCGACTCTCAAAAACAGATGTCTGAAATGCAGGCACGATTGGGCCCTAGACGAGGGACGTTGGTCATTTTCACCCCTAGTCCTTTCTGTAAGCTTCCTGAGCGTGCCCATTTGGCCTGCCACTCTTGGTGGGCACAGGGCTTCCCACATGTGCCCAGCTGTCTCACCTGTGTGAGTTTGTCCCCAGCAAGGCGATGATTAAGCTCATGGTGGCTCACCCGCCTTGCTGCCCATCTCCCCATAGTTGGGTTCCGTTTGTCCTATATTTGTGCTAGCACTGATGAGATTTGCTTCTGAGGCTCCAAGAATTCTGGATTGGGATAAAAATATTTGTTTGCCTCAGTGATGGAGATGAGCCAGGCCCACGAGAAGGCAGCTGTCAGACGCAGGCAGGGGATGGGGGACGCCATTGGTCGGGCGGAAGCATTATAATGTGTCAAGTCAATGGCAGGTAAAGGCGTTGCATTTGGGAGAGAGAGCTGGAAAGACATTTTAAGCACAAGATGAAATATCTGTTACCTCTCTGAAAGAGGCTTCTATCACAGAGAAAAAAGCTTGTGCCCTTCTGAAATCTATTTCAGAGTTGAAGTAAGGGAGGAGATTGGTTTGCTCTCAAGCCCAGTCCTTTTAGGAAACCTTCCCAGAAGGTGGCAGGATGACAGCAAGACTTCCTGAAAAGAAGAGGAAAAGTTTTTCACCTTATTTCACTTTTCTTCAAACAACATGTGGTTTAAATTACCATATTTATTCTTCACTATAAAATCAATATAATATTATATAGAAAGTGTGAAAAATTAGAGGGGGAAAATCACCTATAACCCCATAAGACAAACCTTGTTTATTTCATCTGGTCTGTTTTGTGCGTGTGTATTTTTACATGGTTGTAATAATACCTGACATATCATTTTTGTACATTGGCATGAGGTTTGTTTTTTTAAAATGTTTTATGAGATACATACAGAGGAGCAGAAAATATATGTACAATTTAAAAGAACAATTTAAAGCAAACACCCGAGTAACTCCCACCCAGGTAAAAGTCTAGAGTATTTGCAGCTCTTAAGGAGATTCTCCCACCCTCTGCCCCTCCCCAAACATAGCGCACCCCCCCCCTCCCCTGGAGATAACCACCATCCTGATTTGTCTGATCATCATTTTCTTGGTTTTTTTTCATGGTTCCACCACTATATGCCTAAACACTATAATTCACTTTTACCTATTTTGAACGTTATATAAATGGAATCATACTGTATTTACTATTTTGTGTCTTGCTTCTTTCCCTCAGGTATTGTTTGCGAGATGTTGTATGTGGCTGTAGTTAGTTCATACTAATTTTCAATTTAAAAGAGAAAGAAAGTAGAAGTTTTGTATTTCCCCTCAATTTTTATCCCAAATCTAGACTTTCTCAGGTAGCCCAAGTTTGTGATACTTTTATAGTTAGGAAAACTCATTCTCTTCCTTGTTGGTGACTTTCCCCGCCCGCCACCTGAGCGTGCCTGTCTCCGACCGGGGAGAGTCTTGGCCCTCCCTTTCTGGCAGTGGGCGCTGACCCCCTCCACCCTTTGGCTGGTGTTCTAGGAAGCAGCCACTCTGGGCTGCTGGAGGCCCTCGAGCTGCAGCTGCCGTTCTTCCAAGGGAGCTGATGGAATTATTTCTGGGGCCTGGAGACAGCTGGCGAGAGTGTGGAAAGCACAGCAGGGCCAAGGAATCTGCCAGAAGCTTGGCCACGGGGAGGATTGTGGTGGTGATGGTGATTCTACTGGTCACAAAAAGCCTGGTGTTCTCTGGCTGAAGCCTCAGTGAGGAGCAGGAATTCTTGTCCCCAATGCTCACATTGCCTCCCTCTGCTCCTCTTCCCGGGCTCTGGAGGAGCCGGGCTCATGGAAGGGGGATTTACTCCTATTTGTGGTATTTGCTGGTGCTCGGCCTCCCCAAGCCTCAAATGAAAAGCCTCCTGACCTCAGTAAGTGAGCACTTAGGAGCTCGGTTTCTGCCCAGATGCCCAAGACGTGCATGCATGGGCTAGGATGCCCACGTAGGCACATGCCTGCGTCAACACGCAGGGAAGCCTGTCCTGTCCCCACGACACACACACTTGCACGCACTCTCCGATTTGCCTTCCGACAACTGCCCTGTCGCTCTCATAGCTAATCTTGTTGAACAGGTGGTCTGCAGCTCTGTTTCTTACCACCCTCTCACAGCTAATCCTTTGGAATTTCGCTTTTGCCCTCTGCACTGATGGTGCTCGCTCATTAAGCCCAGCCACACTGCGCCAGGCCAGGTCAGATGAACCTGCGGGATTAAAACCTCTTACTTGATCTTAGCCTGTTAAGGACTCAGCCCTGTTGGATTTATATATGCCTTCCCAGAAGCCAGGCCCTCCTCTTGGGCTCCACTTGGAGCAGCTCCTTTGTCCTGAACTTGTTGTTTGTGCTTTCTCTGGAACGGGCCCTTGTCCACATTCACACCAGTCACAAGGATAGATTGGGGGCATTTTTGCCTCCCTTTCCTCTTACTCCCCTGAAGAGGAGGCCCTGGTGCTGACCCTCATCTGTAGTCTTGCCCTTTCTTGACCTACCTGGCCCTGTTCCACCTTCTCTACTGAGTGATGACAAAGGTAATGACAGTATTCCAGATGCAGACGCTTCATGGTCTTGTACAAGTGGTCCCCAGTTACAAGCACTGTGGGGCAGCCCCCACTCAAAATGACCCCTGCCACCGATAGGCTTGATCCTGCCCAGCCCTGGGTTAATGGAACGGGGCCTGTGGGGCAGTGGAGGCCTCCCGACTAGCCAATAGGTGCAGAAATGGTTTATGGCTACCGGAGGAGGGATCCAGTGATTCAGGGTGGGTGTACCATCGTCCACAGCCTCTCTGCCCTCCATGTGCTACGCCTCGGCCTGACCGGCCCTTCTTCCTGTCCAGGTCCCTGGTCTCCAGGTCCCCAGTAGTCCCTAGAGACGCCTGAGACCCGGAGGAAAGATAGAGGACCTGCCCTTTTACCTTCCCCGTTCCTCTCCCCCGCCTGGGCTCTACTTCCAGAATCCCTCAAAACATCTTACACAAAACTCCCAGGTGACCAAAATCAGGCCCACCACTCAGACCATTCTCCAGGATGCTGACACTGGCCTGGGTCGGAGGGGAATCTAGGAAGAGTCCCGGGTTTTGGGGTGGGTGATTAGGGATGGTGTAAGTTGGTCTGGGACGGTTGACCATTCCCGTGGAATGGTCCACCTGGCATTTGGGTAATGTTAAAATGCCCTCACTCCCTCATTATTAGCATAGAATAGGTTCTCAGGTTCCTGCTTACCTGGGAAAGCAGAGAACTGGGTGGTGAAGAGATCAGGCAGAGGACAGAGGAAGTGTGATTATGGGATGTAGGGAGAGGTGGTCATGGGGTAGGAACAGCCGTGATCTTGCCTTTTTTTTTTTTTTTACATGTTGCCTAATTGTTGTTAGTCATTAGTTCATACAAATTGACTAGAGAAGTGGTTATGTCTGAAGGGGGATGTGGGATGGGACAAAAGAGGTGCGGGGACTTCATCAGTAATGACAATGGTGAGTTTACAGGTGTTTGTGTCCTTTTACTTTACACCTTACATATATGTTATAAATATTACTTTAAATCTACTCAAGAGTTGATAAAACAAATTAAGAATTAATTATAAAATTATACTGTGCTTTAATATTAGTTAGGAATTGTTTAGTGCTTTACTACTTAGAAAGCAATTTTTTTTTTAGGAAGATTAGCCCTGAGCTAACTGCTGCCAGTCCTCCTGTTTTTGCTGAGGAAGACTGGCCCTGAGCTAACATCCATGCCCATCTTCCTCTACTTTAACTGTGGGACGCCTGCCACAGCATGGCGTGCCAAGCGGTGCCATGTCTGCACCTGGGATCCGAACCGGCAAACCCCGGGCCGCCGAAGCGGAACGTGCGAACTTAACCGCTGCGCCACCGGGCTGTCCCCTGAAAGCAATTTTTTAAAAAATTAAATTTATTGACTTGAACCCTTAGCTACTGCTTACTCACCTCAAACTTCCCTTTTTGGCTTTTGTGTTCTTTTGAACCTTTACCTTTAATTTGTTCTCATTTTTCAACTCAAAGAGATTCCCTTTCCAGAATCATCCCAGGACAGGATGCTGTAAGTGT